AGAGTCATCATGCGATTGTAACATCTCAGCAACCTGGGAACGGGGTCAGGTACGCCTGATCTTAGCAGGGACCTCCTCTCCATCAACTGAACTGTCAGGGTGCCCCGCTGCTGTCTACAGGTTAGTATTCTGAGGCTGATTATGTCAGTGAGTCTTCCCCTTTGCTCTCATCTGACATGCTAAGAATCCTGTAGGCCTCTTTACTAGAGTACCTTTCAATGGACATTTTGGCCACTAAATTTATAGGTACCTAGTGTAACTTACGGGAAAAAGCGCATCTGGCTGTCAGGGACTGCTTGAACCGCTACAAAAAATTTTACCGGCAAGTGCTAACAGAGATCAGGCCTGATTCTGCAAACACTGTGGTTTTGTGTGCAATGTATCAAGTGACAGTGACCTACTGACACTGCACTTGATGGGGGAGAAGGAGAGGTAAGCGTAGGGGCTAAACACAGGTGCTGGGGCTAATCCCGCTAACGCTGTGTTTTTGGGGACACTATACTAATGTGAACGCTGGTATAGTGCTGATCTGATCAAAGATATTGATCAGTTCAGACACTATACTAGTAATGGAGGTTTATTGTGTATGTGAGCGTGTTCCTGGTAATCAAGGGGTTAAACGTGATTACTGGTGTACTGACGGGCAATGTGACGCTATCTGGGAATCACGCATACATACGTGATTTTGCGCACCTGTGCCGCCCTGTAGCAATATTTTATTAGTAGAAGCAGTTAAACATGTCCAGTGAAAAAAAAAAAATTAAAAATCAAATTTCGTCATAAATTTAGGCCAAAATGTATTCTGCGACATGTCTTTGCTAAAAAAAAAAAAAAAAATCCCAATATGTGTAAATGAATTGGTTTACGTGAAATATATAGCGTTTACAAATGGCGGTATAGATACTGGATTTTTTTATTTTTTTACTAGTAATGATGGCGATCAGCGACTTTTAGCGGGACTGCGGCAGACATTCTGACACTGGGGGAACTAATTTGGTGTCATTGACATCCCCAGTGACACCAATACAGTGATCAGTGCTTAAAAAAAAGCACTGACATTGTACTAAAGGCACTGGGCAGGAAAGGATTAACATGAGGGCCGATCAAAGGGTTAACTGTGTGCTGGGAGTGTTTTACTAGGGGGCAGGGTGTACTTCACTGTAAGTACACTGTGCACAGCCATCCAGAGCAGTGTGCCCAAGCCAACTGGGAGGAGGACTGTTAGTAAACAAAGCAGCCCTCCCATCGGTGATTGTCGGCTGGGACCAGGTGATTGACAGCCGCAGCAGCGAATGGCTGTGCAAGTAGGGCGCACACACCCCCTACCTGTAAATTCATAATCACGTATATACACACACATGGTTTTGCGCACCCGTGCCGCCCTGTAGCAGTATTTCTGCTATAGGGAAGTCGGAAAGCAGTAAACATCCCTTATAATTTAAAAACACATGAAACAAGAAGATTTACCTGCAGTCACATTCACGGTTTTATAGAAAATTCTCATTGTAATCACCATTTTCAGTCTTTTTTTCCCACACGCCTGTTACAGTAATTGTGCAGAGTGTCTAAAAATAACTGTACAGAATGGTAGGCTCCAGAGTTCAACCATGTCATCTATTCCACAGGATCCCCAAGTTAAATACCGCGCTTATGTCAGCCTGTTGGGAGGTTTAGAGGTGTGCCCATCCAATGGGAGATTCCTTCCCTACAATGGTGGAGAAGACACTTTTCTGCCTTCTAATGTTTTACGCCATAAAAGCAATCACTCTAAAAAAAAAAAAAAAAAAAAAAACTTCCCCACCCTCGGTCAGGTTTTCAACAATTGGCAAACACCAGCTTATCTCTTTTTAAGGACACCTATGCTAATACGCGTTGCTTTATGAAATTTCATAGGGTCTGGGCAAGGTGGATAGAAAGTACTTCTGCTGCAATGATGTTCATCTCCATGTAATTCTTGTTCTTAAGTTATTTTATAATAGCCCCCTTATCTTGTATTCACTGCATTACTATGGGGTACTAGCTTGCCTTATTTAGCACGATCCATACACACATACATTGGTCATGTTTGTTTTGGTGTAGTTTTAATAGACGTTTGGTACTATATACCTGGTTTGTACTAGATGGAGCACCCATGCAAGAGTTATGCCACTCTTCTGTACTTTTGTATACCCTTTTTGAAAATCTAATAAAAAAAGACTTGCAAAAAAAAAAAATTATAATCGTTTCCGTAAAAGTCAAGTTTGGCCCTGACTATAAATCTATGAGATGCCTGGTAATATTCAGATGTCTGTAGGCCTTTCCCAGCATCTTTTCACCAGGGTGAGGCAAACAGCTAGGATGTACTTTTCTAGCCAATAGCTATTATTTTCTCCAGAGAGAAAACAGTCATGAATGTGCTGGACTTGTAGGGAAAGCGTCAGCAAAGCACAACCATGCAGCAAACCCTGAAAACGTTAAAGACAAATATGATTGCACCCATGTATGATTAAAACTACAAACTCTACATGGATACAAGTTCTTAAAACACCACGTTAAGGGCTTGTTCACACTTGGCTGTTTTACCAACGCCAAACGCCCCTATAGTGTTTGGCAAGCATTGGTCCGGCGTTTGCGGAGCAGCACTGTAGACTAGAATAGGAGGCTTCAACGCCTCCTGACTCGACCAGAGGCGTCCGTTTTGCCGCAACGCAAACGTTAGAACAGCACCATGTGCTGTAATGTGCAGAATTGGCAGAGGCATTTGGGAAGCGGTAAAAACGCTTCCCAAACGCCTCTCTGCCGCCTGCACACAACACTAGTGTGAATGTAGCCTAACTCATAATATACTGGTATCTAAAAACCATTAAAGAAACAATAGATGTATACTGGGGGGCGGAGGGGTGAGTTCCCCCTATAAGCAAGATATATAGGGGGTACGGAGTCAGTGATCTTTTTGCAACATCAGTGAAATGTAGGTCATTCCTGCTTTTGACACAGCTGTCGTCTGTATGTGTGATTTTTTGTAAACTCAGGCAGATGATAGCACACAGAACTTTTTGTACAGTTATAAGTTACCTTTGACACATTCCACTCATTCTAAATCAATTGCCTCAGCAGTAATACACATTTTACACATTTTTTCCCCTCTTTTGTAAGTAATCACATACTATTTGGTCTCAGTTGTATAAGGAGCTCCGGAATCTAGGGGGGTGGAGAAACAGTAGCACACTGATCTTCTCAGTGAATGGCCGTGGTTAAATGGGATTTACTGGGGGGGGGGGGGGGGGGGGGGGGGGGGGGGGGGGGGGGGAGTCAGGACAAGTCTAATCATTGGAGGAGAGCAGACTGAGTTCCCAGCATAAAGAACTGAACTGACCATGGTGTGTTCTCCTGCTTAGTGTGGTCAGTTTTTAACAGAAAAGCAGAGGGACTGGCAGGGACACCAACAATACAAAGAGAACAGGATACTTTTTTCATAAAAATACATGGTACAGCGGGCACAGGTCAGAAATATGAAATGTGTGTACATATTCTTTAAAGTGTTACTAAACCCACAACAATAAAATCAGTCTGTATTTGCAGCAAAGCATGCTTGTTATACTGACTGTGGAACCTAAGGGGTTAATCCTCTGCATTGTGCAAAAAAAAAAAAAGGATGTTTGATCCTGACTTGTCTGATTGTCCCCTTCTTCCACTTTGATAGGACATATCGTGTGAAGTCACTGCACATGCTCAGTTTGGTGTGTATTGCTAGAGAGGCTTATTTTTCCTTGGGAGAGCGCATATGATCAGCACTGTCCAGACAGAGGTCAAGGGTTCTGCATCCTCCTAGAGCAAAATGAAAACTCCTCCTATAAGCGTTAATCAGTGCACGGCTGGACACTGACAGAAGTCAAAAGACTGCTCTAACTGCTGATGAGAAAAAGGTGTTTAGCAGTTTATAATTACTAAAATAATTGTACTTCCATGTTCTGTGTACTGTGGGAGACCAGATGTAGTGAATGCAGGGTCCTAGATTTAGTAACACTTTAAGTTTACTCTGACTTTTTTGGAATTAATTCTTTAATAACCAAATGGAATGCAGTGTTACACCAATTACATTCAAATAACAGCTGTCAAATGATTTGTATTCCTTTCCATCCAAGCCTTATATTTACACAGCTCTGAAACACATCACAGCCCTGTCTGGCAGTGGAGGAGACAGGATTTTTTCTCTACTGCAGCTTAGTAACTAGAGGTCTTGAAGACCCTCCCCTCAGTCTGTGACTGGACAGTGTAAGAAGAATCAGAATCTAGAATACCTTATCTCTCTGTCACTCTGCTCTCTACTCCAATTAGTTATGTTTTCACATGACCACTGCAACACAACTAACTGGATTTTTGTGTTGCTGCTCCCTCTCTCAGTCTGAGTTCTGATGTACAGGAGACTGCAGGAGGCTGATAAAAAAAAGGTCAAAACAGGCTCTTTTTATCACTGCTTGCCTTAAAAAAATACATTTAAATTACGTAATAATGAAGGACACAGAGCAACATTGTTTGTCTTATTGCCTGCAGTCTAGCTTTAAAAATGCTGCAGTCAATGAATGTGTTGTAGTTACTTTTTTTACTGCTGCAGCACTGGACTAAGCCAACACTTTACAACTATGTATTAAAGGGGTAAAACCCTAGAACTTACAAGAGACAACCTGTGAATATATGCATTCATAACCCAGTGAGCAGACAGGTGATAAAGGACACTGTAAAGCTACAATAGTGACTTGTAGGGTCATCATTCAGACAAGTATGCAACTCTGGCCATTTTTAAACAAGGTGCCCAAGTAAAGAAACGTCTCAAACTCACTGTACCTTCCCATTGCAAAAGATCAGATTCACAATCTGTTATTCAAATATTATTTGTTCAGTGAAGTTGTAAATATGGTAACACAGACTGTCAAAGAGCGGATCACTGAGACACTTTTCCATTACTATATTTAATCATATACAAGGCCAATGCTTGATAAGGTTCTGGTTATCAAAATTACCTGAGTCGGCACCTTCACATCTTTCTCTATTACAGATAAATCATTGTAGAACTCCTTGAGATCATCTTTCAGCCTATCCACACTCATAGACATAGCTTCATCAAGTGCTTCATAATCATATGAAGAAGATTTCCTAATTCTTTTAAACTGTTTCCTTTGAAGCTGTTTGAGGTAGAAAGCCCAGCGATTGGGGAATTCTCGCAGCAGAGCACCAATCAAAGACACAACAAGAGGTGAACCTATGAAAAGACAAAATGACAATGAAAACTAGGTTGCCCCTCTAACTTGCCATTCTAACATACACTATATTGCCAAAAGTATTGGGACGCCTGCCTTTACACACACATGAACTTTAATGGCATCCCAGTCTTAGTCCATAGTGTTCAATATTGAGTTGGCCCGCCCTTTGCAGCTATAGCACTTTCAACTCTTTTAGGAAGGCTGTCCACAAGGTTTAGGAGTGTGTCTATGGGAATGTTTGGATACGAAAAAACCTCCCGCACTGCCACTACAATACTAAACTCAACCTAACAGTCTAGGAAAGCAGCTAGCACCCAGCTATATAACCAAAGAGTGAAGATGTAACAAAGAAGGGGGTTGGTGCTGCGCTAACGAATCTAAATGAACTACAAAAGGTGGGAAAAATGGATAACCCACTGAAAACGTAACACGTGAACCACAATATAAACAGCACAAATAACACAAGTACACTACCATATGTGAAAACGCAAAAAAACTGTCAGCACCTGTGGTAGTGAGCTCTTATTGATCCTCAACTTGGGGTTCCCCTGGGCATGGAGTCGAAGCCCCAGCCTGCTTGTTCACAAGAGCCCTTGATGGTGGGGAAGGACTTGCAGCAAGCTGGGACCAGGTTGTGGCCCCCAGGTACGCCCAGCTGGGGTTAAGGAGACCGCTCGCGGGAGCAGAGTATAAAGGGAGGAGGCAAATGGAATCCGATAGGCAAGCCAAGGTCAGGACAGGCGGAAAACAAACAAGGTCAAAGAACAAAGCCGAGGTCGGTACACGGGTAGAGAATGTAGGATTCAGACAGTAATAACACACGGGAGCTCCGACAACTAGGAAGTTGCTCAGGCAAAGTGACCTAGTCTGAGCACGTCTTATATTAGACAGGCAAACAAGGAGGCAGGCCAGGAAGTGATGGAAGGGAAGAATAAAACCTAGAGAACAGCAGACGACACCCATAGATGAGCACAGACAAACACATGAGAAGGGATCAGGAACAGGACTGCAGCAAGAAGGTAAGAACACAAACAAGAAACTGCAGGCTAACTTGTGACATAAACACGTCCTCAGCTGAAGACATGCGCTATAGTAATATACATGAACTATACATATGAAAGAGGAATAAAGTAGTAAAAATATATAAATAATAGAATTTTGAATAATAATAAATTGGTATAACACTAAGCAATACATAAAAAGCCCAAAAGTGATATATACCAGTGCAAGACTAACCATGGATGACATGAATGTCAGAAAAGAATATAAATCAATGATGGGTGAAAAACAAGCACAAAAACAAATACGTCATAAATAATGGCATAAATATTGCCACAGAAATGTGAATAAACACAAATAGCACGAATGCACTAACATATGTGAAAACAACACAAATAGACACGTCCTCAGCTCAAGACATGTGCCATAGTGATAAAAGTGAACTGTACATATGAAAAGGGAGGAAATAATGTGAATGAAGTGGTAAAAATATATAAATAATGAAATATAAGATAATGATAAACTGGTATAACAATCAATACATAAAAATCCCAAAAGCGATATATACCAGCGCAGGACTAAATGTGGATGACATGAATGTCAAAAAGGAATATAAGTACATAATGAATGAAAAATAAGCACAAAACAAAAACACGTCATAAATAATGGCATAAATTTTGCACACACAAAATGCGAATGAACTCGAAAGATGGTGTAAAATCCACAATACACCAATACGTGTAAAGTCCAATATTTAAATTCCCAAATAAACTTGATGGGTGATAGTGAAAGTGATCGACCACCGGCTAAATTGCCTCCTCACCTCCACGCTGAGACCCCTAGGGGCCAACACACTTTCAAGGCGCTCAATGCCAAAACAGATCAGCATCCCATGGGGGCCTTACGCACTAATCCAGGAACCATCAACCATCAACAAAAGTGGTGGTATCCTTCTCACGGAGAAAAATGCACCTGACAGCCTTTTTTCACACCGCTCCAAAGTAGAATAAAAAGGGTGCTGCAGATCAGACCTACACAATCTGTTTCTGTAACCAAGTAACACAACGTTCCCCACCTTCACTGAGGAAGTTGCCCGGCGTACATGGGCAAAATGGCCGCCGGCCAAGGCTACACAAAGATGGCCACCGGCGTCAATCACAGCAGCTGGGTGGGAGCGCAAGTTTACTTATTTTTCATCCATCATTTATTTATATTCTTTTTTGACGTTCATGTCATCCGTGCTTAGTCTTGCACTGGTATATATCACTTTTGGGCTTTTTATGTATTGATTATTGTTATACCAGTTTATTATTCAATATTCCATTATTTATATATTTCTACTACTTTATTCCTCTTTCATATGTATAGTTCACATATATTACTATGGCACATGTCTTGAGCTGAGGACGTGTTTATTTGCGTTGTTTTCACATATGGTAGTGCACTTGTGTTATTTGTGCTGTTTCCGTTGTGGTTCACATGTGTTACGTTTTCTGTGGTTTATCCATTTTTCCCACCTTTTGTAGTTTATTTAGATTAAATTAGATTCGTTAGCGCAGCACCAACCCCCTCCTTTGTTGCATCTTCACTATGGGAATGTTTGACCATTCTTGCAGAAGCGCATTTGTGATGTCAGACACTGATGGTCGGACGAGAAGGTCTGCCTTGCAGTCTCTGCTCCAATTCATCCTAAAGGTGTTCTATCAGGTTGAGATCAGGACTCTGTGAAGGCCAGTCAAGTTCCTCCAACCCATACTCACTCATGCATGTCTTTACGGACCTTTGCTTTGTGCGAAACAGGAAAGGGCCATCCCCAAACTGTTCCCACAAAGTTGGGAGCATGAAATTGTCCAAAATGTCTTGGCATGCTGACGCCTTAAGACTTCCCTTCACTGGAACTAAGGGGTCAAGCCCAACCCCTGAAAAAACAACCACACATCATAATCCCCCTTCCACCAAACTTGGTATGATGCAGTCAGGCAAGTACAATTCTTTGGCAACAACCAAACCCAGAAACGTCCAACGTATTACCGGACAGAGAAGATTGAATCGTCACTCCAGAGAACACGTCTCCACTGCTCTAGAGTTCAGTGGCATGCTTTACACCACTGCATCCAACGCTTTGCATTGCACTTGGTTATGTAAGGCTTGGGTGCAGCTGCTCAGCCATGGAAACCCATTCCATGAAGCTCTCTATGCACTGTTGTTGTACTAATCTGAAGGTCACATGACATTTGGAGGCCTTTAGCTGTTGACTCTGCAGACAGTCAGTGACTTCTGCGCACTGTGCGTTTCAGCATGTGCTGACCCCGCTCTCATTTTACATGGCCTACCACTTTGTGGCTGAGTTGCTGTTCCCAGTTGCTTCCACTTTGTTATAATACCACCAACAGTTGACCATGGAATATTGAATAGCAAGGAAATTTCACGGATGGACTTATTGCACAGGTTGCAACCTATCACGGTACCACACTTGAATTCACTGAGCTCCTGAGAGCGACCTATTCTTTCAGAAATGTTTTCAGAAGCTGTCTGCATTCCTAGGTGCTTGATTTTATACACCTGTGGCCATGGAGGTGATTGGAACACCTGAATCCAAGGATTTAGAGGGGTGCCCCAATACTTTTGGCAATAAAGCGTATATGAACATAATCTAAGGTGTGCACAAAATGTGTAGCAGTCATCTTTAGCAAAGGGGGTCACAACTGTTCTGTGATCATTTTAGTTTTTAAAACGCGTCTAAGCTTTTAAACTTGTGTATTAGAATTCCACCAATATATATTTTAAAAATATTTTATACTTCTTAAAACGATACCCAGAGTACTGGTGGGTTTCCTAAAGCGTAAATCAAAGCAATAGCTCCCTGACTGGATACTCTTATTGTATAACTGAAGCCTCAGATGATACAGTTCTCTGGCTTATTACTTTTGTGTGTCAATTTTAACTTCAGCTACTGAGCTTTGTGATCAAAATTTGTATTTTTATGTTAAAAGAAGTCTAAGGCTCCATCCTGACCATAGTAAAAACATATATACTAACCCACTAAGTGTATACATACTGTACATCCTTTCCCTAGTGGGGTTACTGGCCAGTATGAATTCCTATGCTTTTTACTATGTTTGTTTAAACCTTGAATGCCACCATCTACTTGTAGACTGCATTAATCTCTCTTACAAACATTTCAGGGTATGTAGAGGCCTCCAAAATGTCATCACATATGGCAAAGGACACCTAAATCCCTCAAACGTGGCTAAACTAATTTCAAAAGTTTGATTTAAAAAAAATGGGAAAATTATTTGACTGTCTTTCCTAGTGATAAGATTATATAATAAAGCTAGGTTTACTAACCTAACCTATGGTGACCACACAATGAGACCACAAGTCTAACTAGTCTGACTAAACAGAACAGAATACAGGTGAATCTCAATAAAATTAGACTATCATCAAAATGTTAATTTATTTCAGGAATTCAATTCAAAAAGTGACATTCATATAATATATAGATTCATTACACACAGAGTGGTATATTTCAAGCAGTTCTTTCTTTTAATTTTGATTATAGCTTACAGCTAGTGAAAACCCAAATTTCAGTAACTCAGAAAATTAGAATATTACATAAGACCAATAAAAAAAGGATTTTTAATACAGAAATGTTGGCTATCTGAAAAGTATGTCCAAGTACAGTATAGTATGCACTCAATATTTGGTCGGTGCTCCTTTTGGATTAATTACTGCATCAATGCGGCGTGGCATGAAGGTGATCAGTCTGTGGCACTGCTGAGGTGTTATGGAAGTCCAGGTTGCTTTGATAGTGGCCTTCAGCTTGTCCCTCAAAAGAAGTCATGTGACGAAACACGTAAGGTCATTATGATCAGCAGTGACATCACCACGCACGCCGCAACCACGTGGCTGGACCATGTGATCGCTATTACGAGATTTGTAATCTACAGAGCAGGTGGTGAGACGCACATTGAAATAGCTAGCGGTTTCACTGCAGCTACACCTATCATTGAATGCTTTTTGTACTTTTATACAAATGTGAGTTTTAGTCTAAGAGGGGTATTTGTTGGCAATAATCTTCTAAACAGTATTATGCAATGGCAAGTGTTCTTTATTTACCCACATATGGAATTTGAACAACTTACCTTGATGGAGTTTGAGCTGGATTAACCATCTGATGAGTGACCATTATTACATCTGAGCCGATCTGGTTTAATGAATTTCTATTGGTATCTGATTTAAGGCTGATTAATCACCAGCATCTGGCGAGTTTGCACTTTGATGGGGTGTTGAGCATATCGGAGATCACCGTTGTGGTGGATACTTTTGAAAGAAAGATTTGGACTTTATTTTATATTATGAACTGATATTTTTTCACTTTTGCACTGTTTGGTGAAAGTGTTGTTTATTATTTATATTTTCATTGTTTATGTATTATTTATATTTATTTCTGAATTGTTTATTGTTTTATATTTAACACAGTTTTGGGGATTGAATTGCATCTCATTAGTGAGCGCTGTTTATGGTGGTCTTCACTTATTTATGTTCTTTTATTTTGAATTTATTTAAAATAGCAGCTCCAGTCACAGTTTAAGATATATTATTTTATTGATATAAATTATCTCACATTTTTGCGCAGTGATATAGGCTATATATATGTTTTAGCTTATATAAAGATTGTCTGCATTGCTGGGTCTGGTGTCTCCCATTTTCCTCTTGACAATACTCCACAGATTCTCTTAGTTTAGGTCAGGCGAGTTTCATGGCCAATCAAGCACAGTGATACCATGATCATTAAACCAGGTACTGGTACTTTTGGCAGTGTGAGCAGGCACCAAGTCCTGCTGCAAAATGAAATCAATATTTCTAAAAAGCTGGTCAGCAGATGGAAGCATGAAATGCTTTAGAATTTCCTGGTAGAGGGCTGCGTTGACTTTGGACTTGATAAATCACAGTGGAACAAACACCAGCAGATGACATGGCTCCCAAAATCATCAATGACTGTGGAAATTTCACGCTGGACCTCATGCAACTTGGATTCTTTGACTCTTCACTCTTCCTTCTGACTCTGGGACCTTGAATTCCAAATGAAATGCAAAATTAACTTTTATCTGAAAAGAGGAGGACTTTGGACCACTGAGCAACAGTCTAGTCCTTTTTCTCCTTTGCCCAGGTAAGACGCTTCTGACTTTGTCTCTGGTTCAGGAATGACTTGACACAAGGACTGTGACAGTTGTAGCCCATGTCCTGGATATGTCTGTGTGTGGTGGCTCTTGAAGCACTGACACCAGCCATAGTCCACTCCTTGTGAATCTCCCCCAAATTCTTGAATGGCCTTTGCTTCACAATCCCCTCAAGGCTGTAGTTATCTCTGTTGCTTGTGCACCTTTTTCTACCACACTTTTTCCTTTCACTCAGCTTTCCATTAATATACTTGGATACAGCACTCTGTGGACAGCCAGCTTCTTTAGCAATGACCTTCTTTACCAATGACTGTCTTCTAGACAACTGTCAAAGTCTTCCCCATGATTGTGCAACCTACTGAACCAGACTAAGACCATTTAAAGGCTAAGGAAACCCTTACCGGTGTTTTGAGCTAATTAGCTGATTAGAATGTGACACCATAAGTCTACAATATTGAACTTTTTCACAATATTCTAATTTTCTGAGATACTGATTTTGGGGCTTTCACTAGCTGTAAGCCATAATCATCAAAACTAAAAGAAATAAACGTTTAAACTATATCACTCTAGACTAGATTCAGTTTACTGAAAGACATAACCAGAGTGTTTTACCTTTTGATTCCTCTATGATTTGGTGTGCCTCTTCTGGCAGTTCTTCCAAACCCTTATCAACATAAAGAGACAGAATTTCTAGGCCTTTCTTGTGCTCTAATTCACTGTCCACATGAACAAAGTGTTTCATTCCTTTGGAGAGAACATTTCTATCAGTGAGGAAAGATTACTTTTTAACTGGATAAAATGTTACAAAGATGAAAAAATTTAAAAAAATCTATAAAAAGGAGGAGAATAAATGCAACACTGTCACTCAATGGTGGATGCATGGGTGGTGGTGATAGAAACCATACCACCGCTAAATGCCAAGATTACTGCAACTTACTACATTTTACATAAAAGTGATGATTAGGACAACAATGGACATTTGAGATGAATGGTGGTTGTCCATGTAGTACATACCAGACACAGCATCCGTTACACTCTTGTCTCTGCTTGTAATGAGGACCCGGCCCTGGACATCAAATGCTTTCAATACCCAGGGATCCCAAACATCATCCAATATTAAAAGGCTTCTATGAAATAATAATGTGTAAGTGTTAACCATCTTTCAGGAACCATTAACAGACAATCCTTTCTTTTTTAAATATCTTTTCAATTATGCTTTTTCAAAGATCTATGCTGGAACAAATGCCCATGTTGTGCGACATTCTTTTCAGTGTTACTATGGGAACAGTAATCAAAAAGCTTACGGTTTAATAAAACAATGTTAACTGTTATTATATCTGTTCAATAAGTGCAAAGAATACCTGTTGATCCTGACATAAATTTTCTGAGCTGACTTCCCTGTGCACACTGTCTACTGCACTCTTTTCCATTCCCAGCTATTTCTGTGAACTAAAAAAACATCTCAAACATGCATTTCTTTTAAATTTTTTGTTGCTATTCTGTCTCTCAGTGTTACAATACACCTACCATTCGATTTTTAGACTGATCATTTCTTTGAGAGTGGGCAAACATTCAAAATGAGCAGGGGATCAAATGCTTATTTCCTTCACTGTTTATGCAGCCTCTCTGTGTTAAAACCAACCCGCCGAAAAGTCGCATATATGCATAGCACCGGCAGGAAGAGGTTAATATTGGAAGAGACCAAAAATAATATAAACTACTCATACTTCTGATAATAGGTTTTGTTCATTCTAAGTGCACCATTTACCTTGGAAAAAGGCGATTCAAGAGCATTCGAAGACGGTCTCTTGCCTCCTCAATATTGAGAGGGGGTCTCTGTGAATACTTGCAGTCCTGATCCAGGCGTGTACAGAGATTCTGCAGCTTCATCAGCAGTCCTGCTTTGTCCTGTTTCCCAATAGAAACCCAATGTACTCCACCTGGGAAACAGTCTGAGCAACAGAATATGAAGTTAGTTACTTAGAAAACCAACCGCTTACTGTATTAAAGGGAGAGAGAGAGTGTGAGTCTGTATCCCGTATGTAGGATACACAATTATTACGTAAGATACAGTACTTTATCTGGTTACACAGTCTGAATATATTCGACAAAAGGAAATTATGGTCTACTCTACAGGAAACCAAGCAAGGTCAGGCAGCAAGAACAGAATTGGTTCAAGGGCCTCAAATTTTATCAAACGTTTTGTGTGTACCCTTAGTGGAATAGATGAGCTGAAACAATTAAAAGGTCAGCATTATTCAGTTTCCATTCTAAAAGGGTGGGAAAAAGAGATCTTTTCCACGTAATTACAACAATCTTTGTAGTAATAGAACACAAATCAGTTTTTTAGTATGAGAGATAACCTAAATATCCCCCCTGCAACCCCAACAGGCACACTTTAGAGTACTGCATATCCAGGAAACCTAGTGCCAGCTCAAATAAGCTGCATATGCGTATCTGAGGACACAGCCTCAAGGCATGGAAGAAGTCTGCCGCCCGAAAGCCAACCTGTGTTTACTAACCACTCTATCTGCATCTCGAGCACTGCACCCATCTTCACATGGATGTAAACATTGGGATGTGCGGGAAGGTCGGTCCGTAAAGCCATTCAATCTCTCAGCCAGTTATTGATTTTGCACAGAACATCTGTCACTCCTCAGGTACAGAAGTATGACCCTCTGAAGTGTGAATGAACCCGAAGTAAAAATGTTTTGAGGGCTTGCTCTGTTTTTAGCAAATACGTTCAGTGGGTTGAACAAGATGGATTTGTATCTTTTTCAACTAGACTAGTATGTAAAATATCTTATGTATAAATAGCTCTGCATAGTGGAAGGGGTATAAATAAAAAACAAAAGCACTAAACTGTTAATACATGCTTTACTTATAGTCACTGAACAGCAAAAGCAGGTCAGTCACTGTAGAAAAAAAAGGAAATGTATAATTCCACAGACAAAAGCCAGGAATGTCAGCCTAAAATAAAGAGGGATTGGTCGGAGGACAGCAACAAATATGAAATGAGGTCTAAGATTTCAAATATACTTAGGAGCTTTATTGCAGCCTTTGGTTGTCACAGAAGGAGACTGTTTGTAAGGGATTTCCGGCAAGAGGAACAGCAATCGGAAATGCGCGATCACGCACGGCGAAGATTGGCGCTAGAGTGTCTCTGTTCATGTTCAGTGCTGACTGGTCTTCAGCTCCCCGTGTCCTGCTAGTTCCTGTACGATTCCTCCGTTGCTGACCTGGCTTGTTCCTCACCTGACTTTGATTGCTCTCCTGATACTGGTTCTTGACTTTGGCTCTGCTCCTGACCTTGGCTTTTCCTCCTGATTCTGTTCCGTGCTGCCCGACTGTTGATGACCCTGGCTATTCCATGACACTGCTCCTGTCTCTTGTCCTCACTACCTGCCTTGCTCTGCTGCACACCTGGCAATCTACCTAACCTGCTCTGCCTGCTACTCCTGTGCCAAAATCACAGGATCTTCAGCCTTCCAAGGTATTCATCTGCAAGAGCTGCAAACAACAACTACTGGCACTCTTGTTCCCCTGGGTTCTAGACTCCCTCTGTTTCACCCTCAGCGGGGTCAGGGCAAGTGACACAAGTGAGGCCGACCTCGTCAATTCAGTCTCCCATCAGGTACGTGACACTGATATTGGCAAATGGCATGTAAGCCTTTATTGCAGACAGCAGGTGTCTGTGTTGTGTTGGAGTACTAGCCAGCCATCCACAGCACAAAGTGCTACAGCTGCAGTCCGTTCATTCTAAAATGTTATGTTAAAAGCAAATTAGAAAAAGGTCTAAGCTTTCCCCACTCCAAGAGATACATTTTAAATAGCAATATTATTAAACTTTATAAAGTGATTTCTCAACATTACCATTTAGGATCTGGTGGTCCCGAAGTGCTTCAGCTGCTAATACGGACTTGCCGCAGCCTGCCATCCCATACACTGTAACCCATCCAGGATCATTGCTCAAACTGTACAAGCAGTCATGGATATTCTGTACAAGATGCTTCCGAGTGACAAATACTACAGGTCTCTGTGGCACTCCACCTTCACACAAGGCTGTTTTAACTAGAGACAAACATTTTACAATTATGTATATTTAATAAAAATGTATATACAGTACAAATTAAAGTGGTTCTAAAATCTCAAGGTTTTTTTACCTTCATTCATGATGGGAAAAAACCCTTTGGTGTGTAGCGGCACCACCAGCCCCCTCAAACACACACTTATCTGAGCCCACTCTTGTCCACAAGGGTCTCGGTTTTCCAGGGACTCTCACTCTTGATTGGCTATGGCCACTGGCTCCCACTGCTGTCAATCACAGCCAGTGAGCCAATCAGAAGAGGGAGGGGGTGGGACCAATCCACAGCTGTGTGTGTGTGTGTGAATAGATACGCACAGCAGCAGTTCTGGAGCATGCCTGTTCAGGTGCCCCCATAGCAAGCTGTTTGCTATGGGGTCACCAGACAGAAAGGAGAGGCCAAGAGAGCTGTCGGGGGACCCGAGAGGAGGAGAATCCAGGCTGCACTGTGCAAAACCACTGCACAGAGCAGGTAAGTATGACATGTTTTTTATTTTTAAGAAAAAAAAAACACTTTAAAACAGTCAGTAATATAATAAAAATAGAATTCAAGCCAAATCTTTTTAATGCTATCTGTGTCCTGATGAAAAGATTTGACCTTACTTTCTGTCCCAATGACAATCTGTCACAACAGGGTAATCTCTCTAATGGCAACAAAGACAGCAATTAAAAAAAACATTTTCTACTTTTGTAGTTGGGTTGTGTAGACAATGGTTACAACCTTTGTTAGGTTTCTATCACGGTCTTTATTTCCTTTGAGAAAAGTTCATTCGCTTCCTGTTCTGGCTACATTGTTCAAAAACAAAATAAATTATCAAATGCAAACCTTGATTAATTCAAATATACCTTTTTGACTGTGGAAAATGCAATGCAGCTGGGGTTGTGTGTGTACTGTATGTGACAAGAATGCAATTTCAGATTAAACGCAAAAGCGAAGTTCAATAAGCAAACCCTTACTGAATCATGACTTCAGAAGAATGATTTTCTTTCACCCAACGGCTTTTAGGGAGGGTACAGATTTTCTAACCTCATCCTGTACGGTCCTAAGCCAGCCATACGTGGATCAAAATTCAGCTGGTTCAGCAGGGACTAGCCAAATTTCTATCCACGTATGGACAGGGAAGTTGTAATACTGATCGACGTCTGTACAATCGCCCTGCCGGATTTTTCCTGCTCATTCAGTGCTGAAGGCTATACGGTCAGAATACGGTTGTATCCACATCAAGTGTATGAAAGAGGAAAGCGGGTCAGTTTTTCATTCAACTTGCTGGTTAAACTAAAAAAAAAAAAAAAAAAAAACCCCAGTATAAAAAACTATATATCTATCTATCTATCTATATATATATATATATAATGGACTGCCTATTTCATTTTACACCGTTCTTTAAACTTTATTTATAGTTCAAGTCACCCAACACTGCTGTTTTAGTTTTTGATGGATGTGATAAACCATGTCTCTTTTTTTATTGTATAAAGCAGAGTTCCACTCAAAAGCAGAAGCTCTGCTTATTTGCCTCCCCCCCCCCCTCCACTGCCATATTTGGCACCTTTGGGGGGGAGTGGATACCTGTTTTTGACCTTCACAGGTCCCAGAAAACTGCTGGCCCAATGAGAATGCGCAATGCGATTCGCACATTCGCAGTGGGCACCCAGCTGTGAAGCCGCGAACTGTCACAGCCTGATGCCCACAGTTGTGATGCCGGTGCTCGGGAGAGAAGAGGCAGAGAAAGGATTGCGTGGGTGAGCACATCGCTGGACTATGGGACAAGTGAGCGTGTGTTTATTAAAAGTCAGCAGCTACAGTTTTTGTAGCTGTTGACTTTTAATAAACACAAAAAATGACTGGAACTCTGCTTTAACTTCTCAAGAACTCCTATGGCAAGAAATCTGCAACTGAGCCACCATCCTACAAGCCTTGCATGTGGATTCCATGTAAAATGCATCAAAATGCTTCAATCCATACAATAAACACAGAAACTTAATGCACTGTACCTAGCAAGACTTCAATATGATTTTTCTTGGGCTGTCTATGTTAAACTGTACACTAAGAAAAGTCACACCTGACTTCTCCCGTGCATATATCTCGGTTATTCCTAAGCCTGATAAGGATCACTCTATCGTAGATAACTATCGCCCTATTGCCCTACTTAATTCCGATTATAGATTTTTACTAAAATCTTGGCCAATCGACTATCCGGTATTATTTCCAAGCTCATTCACAGAGATCAGGTGGGCTTTGTACCTGCCAGACAGGCTGCGGACAACACCAGGAGATCTATTGATCTGGTTGATCTGGTCAACCGTTCCTCTACCCCCACTGTGTTATTGAGCCTGGATGCCCAAAAAGCCTTTGACCGTTTAAGCTGGCCTTACATGTTCATGGTTTTGGAGCGATTTGGTTTCAGGGGTTCATTTGTTGCAGCTTTGAAGGCCCTTTATTCATCCCCTTTCTCACAGGTCAGATTAGCTTCCTTTCTCTCACCCCCCTTTCAGATGTCAAATGGCACTCGTCAGGGATGTCCACTCTCTCCCCTGCTGTTCATTCTCTGTCTGGAGCCATTGGCTGTTGCCATCAGGTCGAATCCGGATATCCGGGGGATACAATCCCATTCTCATGAGTACAAATTATCATTATTTGCAGATGACATCCTCCTCACACTTACGAGTCCCCACATCTCTTTACCGATTTTGCACAAAATTTTGAAACAATTTGGGGCTTTATCAGGTTATAAGGTCAACACGTCCAAAACTGAGGCACTTCCAATACATGTTTCTCCTGTTGTTCTTTCCTCCCTTCAGGCAGCCTTTCCCTACCGGTGGTGCACCCACTCTTTAAAATATTTAGGCACCAACCTTACTTCCTCTTACCAATCCATATACGAGGCCAATTTTCCCCCACTGTTTATAGCAATTTCTCGCTCCCTGAAACACTGGGATGCCTTGCCTATCTCTTTCCTCGGTCGTATTAATGTCTTAAAAATGACCGTACTACCCAAACTTTTATATCTGTTTGCAACCCTCCCCGTACCCGTTCCTATGTCCAAGCTTCACTCCCTTCAGAAATCTTTCTTACATTTTATTTGGCACAACAGGCGGCACAGGATTGCTCGTTCTGTTCTGCTTTCCCCACGTTCTAGGGGAGGCTTGGGAGCACCGGATATAATAACATACTATTTTGCAACCCACCTTCGCTTTCTTCTGTCATGGTCCATTCACTACCCTCCCAATACATGGACTGAGATCGAGTCTTTACAATTGTCCCCAGTTCATCTGTGTTCCCTTCTCTGGTCGACCTCGGCGGTGGATGTCCATTCTTTTCGCCACTCACTCCTAGGCCCCATGCTTTTTTCATTGACTGTTTGGCAGAAATGTAAGGCTAAATTCACATTGGCTTCTCAATGCTCCCCACTGACAAATATCCTTCATAACCCTAATCTTCCAGACAATATGGCCATGTCCCGGATGTCTCTTTGGGTAGTATCTAACCTTTTTCAACTACGTCACCTGGTACACCCGGTGACTCGTAAGTTACATTCATTCTCGGATCTCCAGAGGAAAGCCTCTCTACCCCCTCATCATCTGTATGTATACCTTCAAATACGCCACTTTTTCTCTACTCTATCACCCTCATTGAGCTTGGGGAAACCTACCCCCTTCGAACGTCTATGTATGGAAGGTCCCCATCAAAGGGGTATTGTCTCTAGCACCTATAAAATTCTTATGGAAGCCCCCCCTTTGTCCAATGACGCTCACCTTTATATGCGTAGGTGGTCTCAATTTATACAACGTGATATTGACTTATTAACGTGGAAGAAAATATGGGATAATGCATCTAAATCCTCTATTTGTGTGGTTTTTAAGGAAAACATATACAAGATTATGATGTTGTGGTACAAAACCCCGGAAGTTCTTCATGTTTATAATCCGAGTGCTTCTTCTGCCTGCTGGCGCTGTAGTAGCGCTTCTGGCTCTCTTTATCATATTTTTTGGACCTGCAGCTCCATTGCTCCTTTTTGGGAAGAGGTCCGCTCCTTGTTGCAATCATTGTTGCAAGTTTCTCTCCCATTTGACCCACTGCATTTTTTGCTGGGCTTGCCATTCCCGGGTCTATCTAAACTGGCCAGAAAACTTGCTGCACATGTGCTAACAGCGGCCAGGAGAAGTATTCCTATGTGTTGGTTATCCTCTAACCCACCTTCATTGCAAACTTTGTATAAACTTATTACCAATGTAAGACAGATGGAGTGTTTGACTGCTTCACATAGTGGTTCGTTTGCTGTATTTGAGATGATTTGGCTCCCGTGGGATACCTTCTCTTCCTCTATGCCAGCCCAAATTGTAAGACCATGATTTTTTTTTTTTTTTTTGCATTGTTACTATATGACTCCACTGGTCCTGACCAAATGTAATCTTAGCCATCGATGTACTTCTATGTTTTGCTTGTTTTATTTTCCCTTTGTTTTCTGTAACACTTGATTTACTTGAAAACCAATAAAAATTGTTAATACAAAAAAAAAAAAAAAAAAGAAAAGTCACACATTTATGAAATTGTTACTCTTGTTTTGTTCACCATCGTCTGCCACTTCCTGTACAAATTTTTTAACCTTGTGTAACTCCAGTTTGTACATGCTATGAAAACACTGGTACAGCTTGCTAAGTAATGCTTGTATTATATGAACAGTGATTAAGACAGCAGTTTTAAATAGTATTTTCAAAAAGCGAATATATTAGTTATTATTACAATGTTTACCTTTATATGGGGTATATATGTACTGTATGGTTGTAAGATTGCACATTGTTACTATGTTCCTTTGCTAGGTCCCAAATTATCAGCTCAATTACCATATGCAATCATTTCACAACAAAAAATGAAAACCACATCACTGGAGTGCTGGTGGCTTTTGTTATTTGGATTCCTAACATATCACAATATACAAAGCTGTATCTTTAGTAATTAAAAAGCAGTCTTGGAACACCACTCAAAGGACTTTGCCAAGGCAGAGATGACCATTTCCAGTCTTCTTTCCTCTAGTGATCGGACTGCAACATTGTAACTTTGTAGAAGGTAACAAGCTGAAAAGTGCAGAGAGCTGATCATTGAGGATCACACAAGCACCAGGATTAAAGTGGTTATAAAGGTTGAAGGTTTTTTACCCTAATGCATTCTCTGCATAAGTGCTTGGCCATACCGGTGCAATATCAGATGCGATTTGCGAATTGAAATCGCACCTGAAATCGCATCTAATGAATGTGAAGGTCAGTGTCTTCAGATGTGCGATTTGCTGCAGCGCCATTTCTGAAGTAGTTCTTGCATTACTTTTTCTGCAGTTTTGTTATGATTTCAAATACATAGAATATTGGAAATTGCACTGCAAATCGCAAGAAATCATTGAGAATCTTCACAAGTAGCAGTAAAGTCTTCAGAAATCGCACCTGAAATTGCGCTGAAATTGCACACAAATAGCAGCGGTGTGACCAGTGACTTAAGGTGAAAAAAAAATCCCTTCTATGTGCAGCTCCCCCCCCCCCCCCCTTACACTTAACTGAGCATAATCACGATCCAGTGCTGTCCCCAGAGCAGCGGCTCTCTCTCCTCACTGGACATGGTGGCAGTGGCGGGAGTCCTTGGCTCCTGTTGCTGTCAATTATAGTCAGTAAGTAGAGGGGGGGGTAATCCAGCCCCCACGAGTGCCCCCGTAGCAAGTGGCTTGCTATAGGGGCACATGGTAGAGGGAGGAGCCAGGGACCCCAGAAGAGGGGGATAGGGGCTACTCTGTGCAAAACCACTGCACAGAGCAGGTATGACATGCTTTTTCAAAATTTGTCTGTAAGGTAATAAATACATAGTAACTTTTGCAAAATCCATCCACCCTAAACTGCACTAACATCTTTCCCCTATTTCAGAGTCATGACCTCCTTTGGTGTTGTCAGAAGAAAATGTTTGGGGAGATGCTAACCTTTGCACCCTATGACTTGGTACATTTGTGCACACTGTTGCAAGAATTATAAAAGATATAGGGGAAGGAAGTGAAACAGGCCAGGTTTCATGAACCACACCTCCAGTGACCCTGTAAGGTGCTCTGTGAATTCTCTTTACAGAGGATTGTATAAAAACTCAGTTCAAACCAAACTGAGGGAACTATACAGGGGCAGAGTTCATAAATTGGTTTCCCTTATTAATTGAAATATAAAGATCTTGGAGCATGTTTCACTATCCTTTCATACCAAACCACTATTCCTGATACAGCAGTGTGATCATTTTATGGCTTGTACTCAACAATGTACGAACATGAATGTAATGTTAGTTGCATGACATATTAGGTGTCCTTGAAAAAGTTACCAATATGCTAATCAATTTTTGACAAGCACAAAAAAAAAAAAAAGATTTCACCACTGCCGGCATTACTGGGTAGCATGTAGGTTATGAAAAAATGACAGTAAGCCTGCAAAAAACTGACAGCAGTGTGTGGAAGAGCTGGAGCATGCTGAATAATTTTCCTGTGTACAACACTACTCTCAAAAAGAACAGACAGACATATTCACAAAAAGACTGCCCCAACTTTTTATGTCTAAATATCCACCCCAATCTCGGCATACTAGTATCTTATGACAGCCACATAGAAGGCCTCATAGTGCACCAGTAAAGGCAGCACCAGTTTCTGTTGCAAACACTCACCAAATGATGTAATACCATTCACTGCAGCTTTGATACTACCAGTCACATCAATAGAAGTAGCTCCTTTTAGAAGCGCAGCCAGGTCTTTATACCCTTCATGTAGCAGGGCATTGTAAAAGGAAACATATGCTCGATTATCTTTGCCAAGAAGTACATCAATAAGCCGTTGGGCTCGGTCAATGTGAGTAGCCTACCAGATAAGAGGTTAGAAAAAAAAAAAAAAAAAAAACAGTATTTATGCAAAATGGAATGGACTGATAAATTAACTGTGATATTTCCTACAATGACTATAAAATTTAACCAGCGACACTCAGCATACAAAGTTTAAAGGAACATAAGAAATTATAAGAAAGGAAAAAAGGTATTTACAGAGTAGTATAGATTAAAGGCTCATGCATATAGCAGTCTGGGGCCATTCAACATAAGGTTCAGGAATATTTCCTTGCCTGGGAGCCATAGGTGCTGCATACACCCAAGCCGTAGACACAAAGGGCTGTACACGGCTAAAAGCAGGTATATGCCAGTACTTGGGCATTTTTACACAAGTACTGGCAAATTTATATTTTGCAGTGTGAAGTCTGTTTATAGTAGGGCAGTCCAATTAGCAGCCCACAGAACCTTCTCTTGCGGCTTTAGAGATCAGCCATGATCACCCTTTCCTCTCCCGTTCTTGCCGGCAAATACCGATTATAATTTTGCTGCAGCCACAGCTTTGAAAACAAAGTTTTTAAATGGCTTTCAGAAGCTTCATTCAGAAAATCCACATAACATTATTGTTACATATTTACGGTTCCATTCACCTACAGATAAAAGGGTCTTTTGTGTATAAAGCAACCCTTCTGGTAATTTTTAAAATCAAATTTGCTTTCATTTTCATTATTTTGTTTGTTATTTTTGTAAGTGTCACATTAAAAAGAAAAAAAAAAAAAAAAAAGAAAAAAAGGAAAATAAGGCTTTATTTCACAACTTTCGCCATGTTTTGTACCAGAATTTTATTTGTTTTTTAAAAAAGTGTCTCTATAAACAGGTCAAATGAAAGAATAAAATGTATTCTTTTTAAATCGACAGTGACACTAGTTGTTTTAAAATTAACACTGGTTAACCTGCTGACCACTCACAGCAAATAAACTGTGAGCGGGTGGCAGGTACAAGCAGCACAACGTACATGCAAGTTGCCAGCTTTCTTCCGAGTTTTGGGCATGCATGTGCACGTCCCCTGCCGACCCGTGCTGTGATTGGACACAGCACAAGTTTGGCAGCAGATTTCAACCAATGTTTTTCGGCTGAAACCTGCTGATCAGCAGTGTCCAAACAACACACAAAACTCTGTGTACAAAGAACAGCGATCTGGTTGTTTCTTCTGCCTGAAGAGCAGGGAGAAAAAAAACAGGTAGATCAGCAAGTAAAAGCAACACACATTACATTTGTTAGGCACACACTTACCTTCTTGATTGCCCCTAGATGTTAACCCCTTCCCCAGCCAGTGTCATTAGTACAGTGTACAGTATTATCACGGATCACTGATTTAGTGTCACTAACGACGTCAGTGTCAGTTAGCGACCCACCCAGCCAGTGTCTGTTAGTGCCATAGCTGGGTAAATTTCAGTATAATACATACACATATATATATATATATATATATATATATATATATATATATATATATCTCATAGTTTATAAATGCTATAACGTTCACACAAACCAGTTAATATACACTTATTGGGAATTTCTTTTTACCAAAGACATGGAGTAGAATACATTTTGTCCTAAATTTCTGATTGTTTTTTTTTTTTTTTTTTTTTTTTATTGGCTATATTTTCTAACAGAGTAGAAAATATTTTGTTTTTTGTCAAAATTTGTGGTCTTTGTTTACATAATAAAAAAAAATAGAACCCATTGGTGATCAAATACTACCAAAAGAAAGGTCTATTTGCATGAAACAAATTATATAAATTTGATTTGGGTAAAGTGTTGCATGACCGCACAATTAAAGTAGCACAGTGCTGAAACAAATTCTTTTTTTAAATTGTTATGTTATGTCTTTGTAGAATCATTTGTGCAAAACAATATCACTAAAAGAAAAATTGTTTGCAGTGAAAAAAAAAAATATTAGTGGCCTTCCACTCAACTTGTGATTGCAAATGTAGCCCTTGGACCCTTTTAAGATGGACACCACCAGTTTATGGGGTCTTCATGGCTCTAACAGTTAAACAGATGTCATTTAACCCAATTCCAATGAACCCAAAGTATCAGGGGTATGTCATCAAGCCATCTTGGGTTCACATTAGACTCTTGTAGAGAACAGAGCACATTATCATATCCTGCCATTCTCTACAGCATTCAGGATCCCCCCCCCCCGGAGGAAGAGAAACACTGAGGTAATGTGACCAGACCCCAGGAAAAAAAAATATTCAATAACTGTTTTTTGTAATATACATTAAACCAAGTAAAAGCATCTAAGGGATTTTTCAAAGCCTATATGGTTTCAGAACACTCAAACGCCATCCAATGATTATGAGTAATCATGGTTTATGTTCTTGGAGAGGTAAAATTTACTAGAGCATTTAGTTAGTTCTGCTACTTTCAGATTTCTCATATATCCTGATTTGTCTATAAAAAAAAAAAAAAAAAAAAAAAGCATTGATTCCTTGCTTTTACTGTTGATCCCATGGTGCAACCTATATGGCATATGGATAGACATTGTCCATAAATAGATGTTTGGGGTAAAAATGTAAAATAGAAAATTATGAAACACTGTGACGTTTACCTGGCTTTTCACTTTCTCTTCTTCTTGTGGTGTAATGACTTCATCACCAATCATGTGATCCATGATGTAGGCAGTCCTGATGTCCTTTGCCAGTGCTGCTCGGTTTTGAAGCAGCAAGCTGCGAGCCTTTTCATCCATTTTCTCATTTATTTCTTTTTTGCTTTAAGTGACAGGCTATCAGTAACAACTTGTCAAGTGTAAACTCTAGATGTAGTCATCTGAGGAATGAAAAATATGTAAATATAATTTAAATAATAAAGAGAAAGCCAAAATGTGTTGCTTAAGACAAGGAAAAAAAAAAAACGACAGAATAAAAGAATGAAGACAAGATACTAAAGTGGACATGGTTGTAAACTCAAAATGATAGAAAATTAGATAGTAAAATATAGTACTTAGTGCAGCTTCTTCGTAAGATGGCCACAAACTGCTAGTAAACCGCACAATCTTTATTCACATACGCTGGTTGGCACAGGAGAATGACCCAGAATCTGAACTTTAAAGAAATTTCTGCTAGGTGACACATATGGGCTGAAATTACACATCTCTATATTTGAAAATGCTAGCTACCTGGCTGTCATACTAATTAAGGGTTCGTCTAACTCAAAACGAGCTATGAAGACCAGGAATTCCAACTTTGCTGGATACTTACTTGTTCAAAGTCAGTGCCTCAAAATGGTGAAGCTACAGATCCAGCACAAAAACGCGTAAATGGCATTTTTATAAAGAGGTGAGTAGCAACAGGGTACATATATGTCACAGTCCAGTCTTCCTATTAGTTAAACTGAGGTAGTACAGCATTGGTTCAATAAATGGTTAAAGAGTTCGTAACTGATGTTGTGGATGCAATGTGCTGTTACCAACCTATAGGCTTGCATGATCATATGAGAAAACTTGATGCATAGGAAGATATGTCAGTGTTGTCCTGAGATTGAAAACAATCTGGATCTGAGGCCCTATTTGTAATCCTGGTGTTGGAAAACAATTCTGCTGGAATCCATATTACCTTTCCATCCGAGTTAGGCCCCTTTGGTCAGGCACTACGATCAGGTCCGCCTGTCAGTTTTCAGGGGGACCTGATCGGAAGGTCCATTTACCCCTATAGACAGGCGGGTGTTACACCCCGGTCACATCGGTACGACTTGGCATTCGATTTGCATGCCATGCGACTTAAAAATCTTATGCTAAGTCGCACCCTATTGTCTGCTATTACAGCGATCATATTGGTGCAGTTCGGACTTGGTCGGAACCGCACCAATTTCTAAAGTAGTGCATGCACTACTTTTGTTGCGATTTGCAGACATCTGTGTCAGATGCCTTGCAACTCGCAACTGAAATCGGCAGGTCACCCGATTTTGAAATCGTGCGACTTCATTGTAAGTCGCTCGATTTCAAAATCGGCTTTGATGTGAACGGGGCTAAATGGACTTGTTTCCGCTTACACCTTTTTTTTACTTATGGGTTGATCAGGCCCACTACATAAAAAAAAAAACCATAAGAGGATTTTATCCTCTTCCATTTAAGTGGAGAGGATTGGAGGTAGCCGGGTGTAAAAGGACAGCGCAGTCAGTTGTCTCCTGGCCGCCCATAGAGCAGAGCGGGTTCTTCCCGTGTCTATCTGCAGATACTGAGCAGACACAGATGCATCACCTTCCCTCTCTGCTCCAATCAGGAACAGAATCTGCTCCATGTGAAAAGGGCCTTAAAGTGTAAATTCACCTTAAGCCAGGGGCGGACTGACCATTTGGAAACTCGGGCAGTGCCCGAGGGCCCGGGGTCAGTAAGGGGCCCCATGAGATGCCCCTGGTACCTTTTTCATAGGCTTTTTTGAGTTTGGGCAAGGACACAGGGGCTCTATGATCCCCTATTGCCCGGGGACCCATGAGTAGTCAGTCCGCCCCTGCCTTAAGCAACATCTTCCAAAACTTCCTGTATGCAGATCCATCTCCTCTGAATAGTACATACCAGCACTACTCCTGTTTTAAATGGTGCGCCTCCATCCATTACACATGCGGCTGTGTCTGGGCCTTGCCCCTTGATCTCCCTACAAATATGCACCCCCTAGTGGCTGCTCTGGGCCATCAAAACTGCACTCTCTCCCTCTCTAGAGGAGCTTAGTAGAAGGTGCTCTGGGCTGTTCAATCTGCAGAGTGCACTCTCTCAGCTCTGCAAGGAGAGAGCACACACATGCCGTACGAACAGCCTGGAGCAACCTCTATGGGGCACACAAATGTAGTGTGCGGCCCATCCTGCAAATAGCAGGACAGAGGGGATCGAGGGCCAGCAGTTTTTCCAGAGAGGTCCCCTCACTCACCGCTGCAAGTGTAATAGGAGGAGGTACAGTATTTGAAAAAGGGAGGAGTGTTGGTATATACAATCATGGCCAAAAATATTGGCTCCCCTGCATTTCTGTCAGATAATGCACCATGTTTGCAATTACAAATGTTTAGGCATTCTCATCTTTATTTCTTGTTTGTATTGATATGACACAAAAAAAGTCGAGAAACAAAAAGCCCAATATGACACATTCCTTGCAAAACCCCAAAAAATGGACTGGATAAAATTACTGGCACCTTCTCAAAACTGCAAGAAATTAATTGCATTCCAAGTTTGTGATGCTCCTGTAATTTGTAGTTAAACTCACCTGTATCAAATAACAGGTGCTGACAATATAGAAATCACACCAGCAACCAGGTAAAATGGTGAAAAATTGACTCAACCAATCTGTTGTGTGTCTCTGTGCCACATGGAGTATGGAAAAGAGACAGAGGAGCAAAGAATTGTTTGAGGATTTGAGAACAAAAATTGTGGAAAAACATTACAATCTCAAGGTTACAAGTCCATCTCCACAGATCTTAATGTTCCTGTGTCCACTTGAAGGAAAAAATTAGAACCAAAATATCTGGTGAGCACACTTTAAAGCAGAGTTCCAGCTGAAAAACAAAAAAGTCAGCAGCTACAAAAACTGTAGTTGCTGACTTTTTAAAATACAGCTGCTTACCTGTCCCTCGATCCAGAGGTGTCCTCACCACCACTGGTTTCACCAGCCGTGTTCTCTCCCTGGCGCCGACATCTTTAGTGTGGTAACCGGCTAGATAGCTTGTGGCTTCACAGCCGGGTGCCCGCTGCACATGCACGAGAAGCGCTGCACTTTGTGAATGGCCCCGTAGTCTTCTGGGACCTGTTACATGTCCCAGAAGACCATGGGGAGGGAGGACAACTTCCGCTGCCAATCGCCTAGGCGATTGCAGCAGAAGTGGGAGGAGCGGGTACCTCCCCCAAAGGAGCCAATCCTTAATGGGGAGTGGGGGACAAAGCATTAAAGAGGAACTTCCCCGTTTGGGTGGAACTCCGCTTTAAGAATTCATTGAGAATTGTTACTATATCCATCTAACCAGATATTGATGTGTTAGATTATCAAAAACAGTGTTCACTAGTTTTATGTTGCATTCTTTTACTTTTATAATAAAAAAATATCACAAAAAAACGTTTTATTACTCAGATAGGTACATTGACTGTTAACATGTGATCTTCCTGACTTTTTCTGCTCCTCAGCTATCCTTATTGTTAGTGTATGTTATGTGTGGCCCAAGACAATTCCTCTTCTTCCAATGTGGCCCAGGGAAGTAAAAAGGTTGGACACCCTTGTTTTCAACAGTTGTCACAGGAACTGGTGTCCCAACTGGAAGATTTTCCTTCTATTCTTGTTCTGGCAGAAATTCAAAATTTTGGAATTGCTCTCATGTTTATTCCTGGTGATGTAAGTGATCAGAACAATTAGAGGGAATGAATCTTCCTAATGAGGACAAAGACAGCAGCAATAAAACCTAAGCAGGGGTCTCACCCCTCACCACTCTACTCAAATCTACCAAAAGAGTTGTTCCTTTAGTTATATGTTAACTCTTCTATACACATGAATAAGCGTAATTATTAATGTGGAATGTATGTTTCTTGCTAAAGAACATTATTTTTTATCAAGATGTTATGGGTAAAGCTTCTCATTAAGCTAGTTGTTCTTTTGCCCCTATGTATCTGTTGTGTAAAAGTATAATAAAAGGGAAAATATGAGTGATCCCTCAGCACAGGAAGTTTGCTCAAAGCAACTGAATTATGCATTTAATATTACAATGCAGGCTAAAAACGGCAAGGCAGGTCACACTGGTTAAGGGAAACCTGTACTAAAAAAAGATGGGAGCTGCCATTGCTGACTTTTCTCACTTAAAATACTAGCTTACTTTGGCTGCCATACAGTTTCAATTCTATATGCAACTGACCTGGTACATACAAACAAGTAAAAGCTGAACTCCAAGCAAATATAGAGCAAACGCTGTATTCATGAACCACTTGCCCTCCAGAGGAATTACCCCCCCCCCCTTCCTGACCAGGCCATTTCCTGCGAAACGGCGTGGAGTTACTTTAACTGACAATTGCGCGGTCATGCAGCGCTGCACCCAAATTAAATTTACGTTCTTTTTCCCCCACAAATAGAGCTTTTTTTCAGTGGTATTTGATCGCCTGTGCGGTTTTTATTTTTTGCACTATAAACAAAAAAAGACATGTCCAATAAAAAAATTTTAAAAACTCCAATTTTTTTCATAAATTTAAGCCAAAATGTATTCTGCTGCATGTATTTGCTAAAAAAATCCCAATATGTGTAAATTAATTGGTTTACATGAAAGTTATAGCAAATGGCAGTATATATACTGGACTCATCTTCCTGATCAAATTTGAAGCATATATGACATTAATAAAAATATAGTGCAGCGCTTCTCCAAATATTACAAATATAATAATAAACATATATGTGTACATAAACACACAATACAGTGCCAAAAAAAAATATATAAAGGTGCCGCTGTCACCTAAGTGACTTATAAACTTGATAACCACAACCAACGAACAATAACAAAGACCCCTATAAAATAAGGGATAACAAATAAATTAAGTGCTAAGTGCCCAAAAATGTGTAAACACTTCAAATCTATATAAACATAAATATACTAATAGTCCATGATGCAATAAAGGGGTGTTGAATAAGCTCATGCAACGTGCAATAGTGTTTTTCAAATCTGTGACAGTGTCAGCACACTTCTTCTACTGTGGCTACAATGCCTCCTGTGCGCAGTTGGTGACGCACTTCC